GAAGAGGCTTTTAGTATTTATATCTGCAATATCTAACACTAATTCGACCCACTCATCATTTTAACTCAAATAAATTTACTTTCTTATCCCCAATTTAGTAACTCAGATCATTCTTATCCATTGTATTTGTTTGTGATCTCCTTGAAAACTGAAACCATATATGCTGCACTGTGTCAGGGCCGTAGGATCTCAGCATTAACTATAGGAATCTGCTTCTCTTAGTTCTCACTGGAGACTGACATCGCCTCCCAGATGAAAACTCTCTTCCAGCAACTTTTAACAGGTCTGTTTCATTTGTTTTCTACCTTAAATCATACATACACACACACACACACACACACACACACACACACACACACACTTTTAAAAAGCAGTCATTGATCCTTAGGTTTATAAATGCAGGCCACCAAACAAACTTTTCTATAAGGTTTCAAATTCTACCCTCAATCCTAAGTCTGAAGTTCAATTTGGGGCCTTGTGTGTAGTAAGGCAAACTGGATAGATTTGGTCATTAGTTAGCTGTGATAATTGTCTAGGGTCCTTAAAGATGCTGATTTAGGATATTTTTGGCCTCAGTTTATTGAGTAAAAACTGCTATCCTTAAATCCTCACTTTCTAATCAAACATACAAATAAATATATCACTTGAATGCTAAAAGGCCATACCTGTAGATGATCAATGATATTTTAATGCCTGAACATTGTACTTTAAAAAAATTACTTTATTAAATCTCTCAAGTCTGATGTTATATTATTTCCGTCACCTGATATAATCTAGCCACTGAAAATATTGGTTAAGCTGTTGCAGATAGGCCAAACAATCTAATTATTATGACAACCAAATAAATTGTAGGATAGCTAAAAATAAAACTTCCTTAAACAGATAATTTTAGCAGGTATTAAAATATAACACAAAACTAGTATGACAATACCTTGATAAATTTTTCAAGGCAAAATGTATTTAACTCTCCCCCACCCCCAAAACAAAGCAAAACAAAACATTTAAGAGATGCTAAAGTCTAATGGGTGAAAATGTCAAATTAACCACTCATATTTAAGTATTATTTTTACAATAGCAGTTATTAGTGCTAGAAGTCCAAGTTTTAACATCCTAAGTAAATAGGGCATAGCTGGGAGAGGGATACTGCAAGAAAATACTGCCATAGTCAGGAAGTATCTTTCATGTTCGTATTTTTTTTCTTTAAAGAAATCCGGTTCTATAGTTTCTACATAGAAAATCTAAGTCATATTTGTTTGTATGGCATTCTAATTAGCATGTTTGAATGCATTTTAAGTGATAGGGAGGGACAAGAGAGAAGGATAGTACATAGCAAGGATCAACTAATGATTTTTAATTTGCCATCTTTGTACACATAGATCAATAAGAAATTACTCAAGCACAAGTGTTGAGCTCATTTAGGCTAGTTTTATATTTTTTTTGGCTGATTTCACTAAAATGTAAGTGCTTAAGTAAATGCTATTTTATTAAATTCTGGTACAAGATTTTTAAGATTGTGTTAGATTTCCTATTTACTTCTGAGAATACTGATGTTACTCTAATTCTTGAACAGCTTTGGTTATATTATTTCAGATATGTACAATGTAAGGTTCTGTGATGATAGTTTTCAATCAAAATCATCAGTAAAAAAATATTCGAAGCAGCTTAGCCAACTGGAAATTAACCTGTATCTTGTCATCTTGCTGTTAAACATCACATGTGAAGTATGATTTAGCAACATCAGTGCATGTACTAAAAAAAATGTACTTCATTGTAGACAAAATGGAGTATTACAGTCATGTCACAAAATGGCAAAACTTTTACTTCTAGGACTAGAATAGAAATGTACTCTAGAGAGAAACACAAAAACAGTGCTCTTTACTGTTAAAAGGCCAGCTTTTGTGTATGAAAATAACTACAAATAAGTATTAAATGGGACTTTTGCATTATTTTTATGTATGATTGCTTTTAAAGTGGGTTATACAAACACAGGTTGCTTTCAATTACCAGTTGTTTTACCCACAGAAACCCTTCTATGTAGTTTAAGATTATTGCTAATCAACCAGCAACCACATCTACAAATTTATAAGGTAACAGTTATGGACAAAAAAATGTATTAACTTTGCATTCAAACAATTAATTTAGCAAACAAGAGTCAAAGTCTGCATATACATTTACATAATGTGGAAGAGATAAAATAACCTCCCCAACTTATGAGTTACTCAAAATACAAGTTTTTAAGAGTAGAGGGTTTTGGATGACTAGACTTTTCTATGTAGATTTGACAAATTTTTGAACCCCATTAATGAACTACTGATTTAAAAAAAAGTTGTATGGGCCTCCCCGGTGGCTCAGCGGTTGAGCACTGGGCTGCGATGCTGCCCGCAGCCTCTGCAGCACCGGTTTGATCCCCGGCCGCCGGGCAAGGGTTCCACATGGTGAGCAGACCTCTCCTGCCGCCCCCTTCTCCCCTCAGCAGTGTACTTCGTCAGTCTGCCTGCCTGCTTTGCTCTCCGCTCTGACTCTGGTGAATTCTCTCACCCTCCCACGCTTCTGACTGTACCCAGTGCTTGTATAAATAAATAATCTTTTAAAAAAAAATTGTATGTTTTATATCTTGCTATATTACTTAGTAGTACACATTTGTCTATTTTTAGTTACTTGCTTAGACCTTCATTAAATGCACATGGACTTACTGAAAAGAATGATTCTAATCACTTTAAAATGATTAAATTTTAAAGTTACACATCTTTACTTTTTCATGATACAACTTAATATAACCAGTGTCATTAATGCTTAAATAATTCTTAAGTTCTAGAAATCAAAATGAGTTACACCTTGAGAATGAGAAGTCACAGACTAGAATGTATGTGCAAAAGACACACAAGATAAAGGACTATTGTCCAAAATATACAAAGAACTCTTAAAACTCAATAAAAAATTTTTTTGATTAATGGACCAAAGATCTTACCACATCCTTTACTAAAGAAGATATGGAAAAGGCAAATGAAAACATGAAACAATGCTCTGCTTCCATCATTAGGGAAATATAAATAATGATCTGTTACATGACCAAAAGCCAAGACACTGAGAATAAATGCTGAAGATATGGAACAGAACTCTCATACACTGCTACTAGGAATACAAAATGGTACAGCCAAGTTGGAAGTTTGGTGTTTTCTTACAAAACTTAATATTCTTATCATGTAATCCAGCAATTGATGTATATTTACCTAAAGGAGTTGAAAACGGGTCCACACAAACGTGCACAAGATGTTTGTAATAGCTTTGTAACTGTCAAAACATAAAGGCAACAAAGATGTCTTTTAGTAGGCGAGTGGGTACTAGGACACAGCAGAATACTGAGCTATCCTTGTGAAGACATTGCTGTTAACAAGTCAAAGATGTCCATTTGAAAAGGTCAGTAGTTGCTAGTTTTTAGGAGAGCAGGCAAGGCAGATTTTTGAGGCAGTGAAAATACGGATATGGACATGACATTTAAACTCATACATCAGGAGTGAACATGGAAGTTGATAATAGGGAATACTAAGTACATGTGTAAGATGAGGGTACACGGGGAAATCTATACTTTCCTCTCAATCTTGAAGTTAACCTAAAATTGCTCTAAAAATTTGCCATTAAAAAAGTATCAATGGGAATACTTAGTATGTGCCAGGCACTATTAACCATCCTCACAGAGGAAGGCAGGTTCCAAAATTCATTATCTTCCTATTCACTGTGACATGACTTATTAAAAGTTTCTTTCTTTCCAAGTTATTTCATGCTGTGGGAAGCCCAATTCAGATCAAACCTAAGGTTCTAATTTGTAGATAAAGCCTAGGGAATAGAGCTGACAAAAGGTCATGCAGCTAATTCATGTCAGTCATCATGGTGTGTCCTAGAAAAACATTTGTAGTGAGGGTGTGCACAGATTATCTATGTGGAGAAACAAAGTATATTCCCAAAATGCTCCCTATCTGAAGAGCACATCTGAAGGCCTATTAGTCTTGCCTGAGATATAGTAAAGCTTATATGCAAGTCTAGATAGGATCTAATCTTTCTACCAGCCTTAACCTACTAGTGCAGATCTGCTCTATCGTTTCTTGCAAATTTTAGGAACATTACCAGTATCATTTTTATGCAGTTACAATGAAGCCCAAGGTCACATCATCTTTCCACCTAGGTCTTCACTCTTCTCCACATACAACTTTGATTTCAAAGCCTATCAAGCAATGTTTGATGGGTAGCACTGAGGGGAAGAGTCTTCAGCTTCGAAAAAAAATTGCTTTCTAAAGACCATTAATTTTCAACTCGTGATTCTTTTAAATCCTTCATATTTCAGAATATACCATATTCTTGTCTCATAGACTTCTACATACATTTCCCACTTGAAGCAAAAGTAGCACACCCAAAGAAAGATAAGAGTAAGAGATAAGAGTGAACCAAATTGTTTCCATTTCAAACTCCATCTCTGAGAAGCCATGGTTTGGCTGCCCCATGGGCAAAGTCAGCATTAGCACTGTGACCCATTGTTTATTGTCTGGCATGACACCTGCATAGACCAAGTCCACATCTATATTGGAACCAAATCCAAAACAGCAGTAAAACAAAACCATGCCAGTTTTTATATACAAATTGCCATACCTATGAAGCAAAATCAAAAAAACCCAGAAGAAGCAGATAGGCCCTAATTTTTAAAATTTCATTCTTTTCCTGAGTTCTAACATTGTTTTGATTCTAAAAATGCCTATTCATTTCTTCAAAAATAAATTGCCTACTGCATACCATACTTGAAAGTTTCACAACTCACCTCATGGTTCTCATTTGTATGTATCATGCTCAGGGATGGTAATGGGAAAAAAAAACCAAAAAAACCCAAAACCCTACAATACAGCCATGCAAAATTTACATATGCAACTGAAAAACTGAATATGAAAAATCTCATTATCCCCCTTAGGATTTCTAACTATGGCTTAAAAACCCAATGAATAAGTAAGTGGAAGTTTCCCTCTGTACATGGCTTTTATTATTTACATAATACAATATAGCATCAATGCTGAGTAGCATGATTATGTGCAATACATAAATATGGAACTATCTGTACACATCTGCAGATCGAACTCAGAACTAAGGTACATAAAATTGAAAGCAAAGGTGAATGCTTTAAGAATAAAAGTAAAAACTAGGACTGAACACTGCAAGAAATCAGTAGTGCCTTGTGTACATACTTAACTATTTACAGATGAAAACAGGCATTACCACAACACTAATCTAACTATACTCATTTATATATAAAAAACACAAATTTCATACATCACAAAAACCTTCCATTATAACACAGAAGTGATATTACCAGACAAGCATCAGTGAAGTATACTGCCTCTTCTAGTTGTTATTGTACAATGCTGTAGATAATGCAGCCCATGCAATACACCCAAGAACACTAGAGTCCTACACCCAAGTACAATATGATAAAGCAGCCCTCTGCAAGTGGTGCTGGATACCACTAAGAAGTCTACTGCAGCCATGTTGGTTATGATTTTCCATGCAGAAGGGTACAGTTACATTAAGAACTGAAGTCTTTAAAAAAGCTTTAAACATTCTTTCTTGGAACCAAAAACATTCAACAAAAGATGCACATGAAAAATCAGATACCTTTGCAACTTAAAAATTCAGATGCATGTTATTTAATAGAACTGCTATATGTGAAAACCAAACGTAGAGTTTTTAATTTCTTCTTTTAAACAAATTAATCCTAGTACAGTTAGTTCTGTGCTACATATTTTTTAGCAATGAGTAATGCAGACATCTTCTGGTGCAGGCCGGCACAGTAAGCTTCAAAGATATCTCAAGACCCCGCTGGCTTGATGGTTTTTACTCATAGGATTATTAGCCATGATGATTACCTTTTTCAGAATGTCTTACTTGACCAATTAACCAGGCTTACATAGGGCACCAAATACTGGTTTCACAATAAAAGGGTATGATTTTCTATATAGCTTTCTTCCTGCTTCCAAAGAACATATTGTAGAAATTAACAGGGTGAATTTTAATTACGGTAGAAATAGACTGCCAGTCTTTTTCTGGTGTACCATTTCTTAAAAAAAAAAAAAATACAGGCACATAACACTAGCCGAAGATTATACCTTGATTACATTCCCAAAAGGCAGATATGCTGCAAACATGCAGAGATTTCATGTATTTTGTTTGGCACAAGGGAACTAAATTTTGTCCCTATTATCTGTGTATTTTGATTTGTGCAGATTTTCATCCAATTTTATTCAGGGGAGGGCATATACATTTTGTAGGGCTGTATCTAACCAATTCTGCCTGTAACAAACACCCAAACATCCTAAAATATCAATTATTAAGACAGACAAATGTAAAGTAAAACTCTGGAGAACATCAAAGGAAAATGGCCATGCATCTGCTCTTTAATGTTTTCCTACGATATATTAAAATAAAAACAAAGTAGTATCAGTCTCTTCACAAGTAGTAATTTATATTCTCTGGATTTTTTCAGCCACAACAACTGGATTCTCTTTTCTGATTTTTGCTGCAGCTTCTGCTTTGTAATCATATGGACAGTTGTGCTTGTCAGAGTAACGGTGAAGTCCACAAAACAAATTTCCACATCGGCAGTCAAACCCTGTACACACAACAAGAGGAAGTAGAGTCACTTAGGAACTTGTAGCAATTAAAAGAAAAAGTCTTAAGTCTCACAGAAAACAGTGAGATTTTCATGGATCTTTACAACATGCAAGACAAAAAGCCTCACTTTAAATTGTGAAAGAGCTTTTAACCTCCTTTGATATTGTGAGAAATTATAACTGTTTTTTTATGGTGTAGAAATTACACAGGTTCTAGAGTCAGGCTGACCTGGATTCAAATTCTAGCCCTACCATATATTAACCAAAAATGTTCTCTCAAGTAAAAACCAGGGGGAGACAGATTCTTTAAGACAAGTCTTAAAAGGAAATTTAAAAGGAATCACTTAAGTATCTAGAACATTTTGTATCTGGTTCAAAATATATGATTGCTGTATTGCTCAAGCTACCATCCCCCCAAGAAAACAAAGGAAAAACTAAAAAGTGATGAATTTTTATCAATTCAATAAAAAGACATGAAGTTAATAATAAAGGGCTTCATATGATTAGAAAAATGGAATTCAAGCTCAGCTTCTCACCTGGCCCAGTCAACTATAGTCATAAAAGTTAGGCATTCTGTTTTATGTGTAAGACCAAGCTGCCCCATAAGGAGTTGGAGCTATTTGTTAAAAACACTAGAATTTGTCTTATGCATTGTGTAATACCTGTAAGGCCAACTTTCTTTCTGCACATGAAACATCTGTTCTTCTTTGGTTTGGGTAACTCAGGAGCTTTTTCTTCACTTTGAGAAGTACTAGGCTGAGAAACTGATGGACTAGGCTGAGTGACAACTGAAAAGCAAGGGTAAACATCAGAAATTTGCAAAGAATTCACTGGCAGTTATCGAAGCCAAAACAAAACAAAAAAACCATCTAAGAATAGTTAAGCTTTTTGGTGAAAAATTTTAAGAACACTTTCTTAAAGGGTACTTGCACCTTCTACGTCAATACCTGCTGATCATTTGGTGCCAATCAACATACTTGTTTCTCTAAATTTCGTAAAATGATCATTCCACTCAAATTCCTTGAAATTCATTCCTAACAGCTAACACCAGAGAACAAATCCTAATTCTAAGTTTTAAGACACCGTAGATGTCCTATATTCAGCTTTTTATATTATAATTAACTGAGCTAAGCTCCCACCTTGTTACTATTTAGAAATTTATTTAGAAAGAAACTTGCCAATTTCTAAGGTACTTGGTTATGAAAAAGTCACTCTGGTTTACTGAAGATTGTCTAGTTAAACCCAGCAATTAAGACAAGTAAACCCAAATCATCCCTAACTTTACATCTCCAAATTTCATATTTTGCCATTTTACAAAGTGCTTTGTCCTAAATAGAAAATCTGGTGTTTTTTTTTTTTTTTTTGAAAAAACTTTCTTTCGAAAGGTTGGCAAACATTCTGTTTAGAACAGTATTAGTACTTATAAAGGCTTGATTTTAGTCTATTCACTATTCCATAGCAAAACAAGATTTTTTTAAAGCACAGCTTTTATCTACTTTCTGATACTTAGTTCACCACTAAAAGTCCAATTCTAGCTTTCCAGTAAGTTGTAACTCATACATGCTATAAATAGAATGTCAGTATAAAGATAAAATCGAATATTGCTATTCTAAAGCCCATGTTATCACTAGGTATTTTAAAACAAAATACCAATTTTTCCTTTTATGAAATCAACATCAGAAGCACTGGATACTCTTGAGTTTTAATATTAAACTAAGCCAAATAGTAAATTTTAATGTACACAATGCTAAAATTAACACCTAAACATTATGGTAGCGCCAATGCTATTAGCATAAATTCCAAACTGTTTAAAGATAACTCACTCTAAAATTCTACCCAATTTTATTCATTTGTATTAGTAACACCCAGTAAGATTTATTAGACTGAATATTCTGCCTACTACATAAGCTAATAATCTATGAAAGTATGGGGTGGAAGGGAAAGCCATTTTCTTGGTCATACCTGTAAAGTGAATAGTAATTCCTAAGCCACACAGGGAAGAAGGGGAGTTAAAGAAAAAAGATACAGAAAAAGCAGATAATAGTAAACTATAGGATACCTACTAAAATAAAGACTAGCTACAGATCTGACCTAAGTGAGTTGTTCCAAGGTTAAAGTGATTTTGTGTTTAAAAAAACCCCAAATCAAATAGAACAAAAGTCTCAAAGACACGGATATGGTGAGTTTTTCAGAGGAAATATTTCAAAATACCAAATATGGTTTCACTTGCTGAACTGAAAATTTCCCTTTAACTTTGTAACCCTGATATAGTTTGACTAAGTTTGGCTATGTGATATTAGCAAAAACCAGCCTCCATAGCAGACTGCATATGCACTGATACAATTTCCTTACAATCAAGTTTTATGTTGTATTCAGTCAACACTGCCAGGAAATAATAAGCTATGTGCACTATAGAGTATGTTAAGATCCTTGCTCCAGGGCCTACTACAGAAGATTCAAACAAGTCAATTTTCAGGCAACACCGGAGCACATCTGATTGTGCCAGTGCAGTAGACTTAACGTGATTAGCTAATAACCAAAATGCCACAATGAGTTTTAATTCCCACAAACTATACAATTAAAATTTAAGTTTTTCAAATGCTCAACATGTTCTTTATGCTTGAATACTGTAACATGCTTATAATATTACACTGTCAATACTGATAATTACTCCTTTTGATTCTGTGCCTATGAACAATACTTTAGTTTTTGACATCATTAAAAGTTTTTAACACTTCCAGCCTTCTAGATAAACTGCTGATTTGTGGGTGGAGAGATGTGAAGAGATGGGATAAAGATGGACTATTACAGGTTTTTTAAAGACAGTGGTTCTTGCTTGGTCCATATTTTATAACTGCTATCCTCTTTGGCCCTTCAATGGGAAGGAAAGAATCCCCCCACCAACCCTTTCTCCTTCTACCACGTTCAGTACTGAACTAGTATTAAACAAAAAGCATACCTGGCTCTGACACCTCTGTTTTCGGGGTAGTTATTTTGTCCTCTCTTGAAATGCTCATTTCTGTCATTTGCTGAGTTACAGGCAAGGCAGCCACAGGCACATTTCTATTTGAGTTCAAGCAAACATTTTTAAAGATGTTAAGGGTACTTCTTTGCATGACAGTAAGTTGTCAGTTCAACTTTAAATTATTATTTCCAACATGATCAAATGGAGTAATTTAAATTTTTTAAAAGAATATTGGATGCCCACTATATGGTTGAGAATATAGAAAGCAATTTGATAAATGGCTCATCGACCCAAGGTTGCATATTTATATAAGTTGTTATAGTCAACTAGGAATTTTTAGCTGTTCCTGTAATTAGTTTATGTGCAAAAGGGGGCAGAGCTTTAGCTAAAATGCCTTGTGTGGGATTACAATGCAGTCTGCAGAGCTTTGACTATCTATAATCCCTAAACTTCAATTACAAGGAAGAGCACAGCATTCTCAACACAGCATCCTTGAGGATGTGATGGAATGTTATTACATACATCTTTACTCAATAACTTAAGACATATACTAAAGGTTATTAGAATTCCTGATTATGCCAACACATGCAAAATCAAAGACATCTGACATATTAACATCCTCCTTAACACCCAGAATTATAACACAGATACTTTTATTTCTCCTTGTATTATCATAAAACCCTTAAATATTCAATCTTACCTTGATTTTTCAGATGTGCTGCCAGCAGCACCTTCACAGTTGTTTAAACTAGAGTCTGCCCTCTGTACAGATGCAGAATCTGAGGTAGGACTGTTGGAACCACTAGCTGTCCCTATTTAAAAAAAGTATTTGTAAGAAACAAAGCAACAATACAAACATTTAGTTATAAAACTATTAATAAGTAACAAATACTTGCATTTAATTAGGTTAGTGACTTTAAGCACTTTTACTGTGTTGCAGAATCCTACACTGAGTATCCAAACAAAAATACACATTAAAAAGTCATATCCAGTGAACACAAGCATGAAACAAAAATCTCAAAAAAGGAAAATAAAAAAGTAAAAAGATGTTTGTAAATTGTTGTTCATTCCTGATGTAGTCATGCCAAGTAGCTGGGCTGTTGCTTTCATTTCAAGGGTTTTTATTTAATTTTTTTGGTCTTCTCTCCTTGGGCTTTCAGCATTGATTCTCAGTCTTAGGCCCAATAATCCACCAGTTCTTCAAATGGGTTTTTCCTTGGAAACAACTTACCCATCGGGCTCATTCTGCCACTATTTTGCTGTCTCTGAAGATGTTCTTTGTAGCACACAGAACACATTCCATTTGTCCTAGGATTCCCATAAAAGCCACATCCTGTACTACACAGCATGGGCCCTGGGGTCTGGTTTGTCTCCTGAGCCATATTTTTCTGCTATAAACAAAACAAAACAAAACAAAATTTTAGAAACATGCAACCAAAATAAAACCACTAAATTAGCCTGATACATTCCACAGTGTACCTTTATTTCTCAACACCAAGTCTATTTCTAACAAAAGCCCAAATTGAGTTAATCATTTAAAAGAACAGGTCGAGGAAATTATATGTTGTTGCCTTTATAAAACAAAGGGCATGAAAAGAATTGTTCTAACTTAATAAATGAGTTATGACCTCATATTCTTTAGAAAAAGAAAACTTGATAATTAAATATTAATACGTTATCTCATTTGTCACCATTGTTCTTTGTTTCAATTTCTGAAAAGGTCACTCTGATTATCAGAATTACATTTATATCAATTTGGACAACTGGTATCTTAAAGTCTTTCTGCTCTGGTGCACTGTATAGGCAGACCATATTAAATGATTGAACTTCACTGGTTAAAAATATATTAAATGAGACTTGCAAATGAGGAAATCTATTAATAATCACAAGTACCGCCTCGTAATAGCTACTAGTGGTTCTTTAAACTGACTGTATACTAGATGCAGGTCTAAAACTTTCTCATAATATCTGAACATACTTGGGCCCCCCCTTAGTAATTCAACAATTCTACTCTGGGGATGAGCAGCAATACTTCTAAAATGTTGAAGCCGCTTTAAAGACTGAAAAGAGAACTGGCATATCATCTAGCCTTTCCCTGTTACGTTGGCACCAACAACTGAGGCTCTTTAAGAATTTAGGGGTCAGCTGCTTACAAAATATCTTATGTACCACATCTGAGGTGTGAAATCTGGTTGAGTATTTTAAAGTTAGTGCCTAGAAACCTGCAGTGCACAAATTATCGTCACAGACTTCTCAGCAAAGGTTTATCTCAACTATTAAGCACTTGCTTTCTTCATACCAAAAAAATAATGAAACTTTTCCAAGCTCAATTTCTACACAGCAAAGTAATTCAATATAAACACACAACCTTTAGTAATGGTTAATATTTAATGGTCAGTTACCAGAAAGAACTTTATACAATAGCAAGTACACCCTTTGCTTTTCCAGAAGCCTTCTTAAAATCAGCACAAACAGAGCAATGTTTTGGTAAATTTGGTAAGTTTTCCTGAGTTAAAGAGATAAACATTGCTTAAAAATTTAAGCAGCAGCTATGGAGTGTTTCCCTGTCACCTTAAAAGACGTAAGAATGTACAACAAAAGCATGTTTGAGAACATTTTATTAAAGGGAAATCATGTGCTATAATTTGTGGTCAGTATCATTTAAACGCATCTTTATGCTGGTAATGGAGAACTTAAGATTAAGTTATGATGATTGCAAATAAGTGCAGGAAAGTCAACAGCTTGTCATCTAGAATTTCATATGACTTCTTCCAAATACTACATACTAAAATACACACTTTAGTGAGTTATTAAAAACATTTTGAACAAGTATTAACACTTTTCACCAAAATTCTGAAAACAGAAGAGGACTAACCAATTTTCACCTTGCTAGAGAAACTTGACTGTACCCCAAACATTTAAATGTTTCTTAGCAAAAGGACATTGAGGCAATTAAGTTTGTACAGTGACCAAGCTTACTACTTCAAATAAGACTAATTTAGTTGACACTGTCTCTTTAAATAGTAAGTGGAATTTAGCTGACTCATTTTGGAGCAGGGTAGTGTAAACATTTCAACATCACTTATGAAGTTTATTAATAAACACTTTCAGCTGGGCTTTTAAAATTTTTTGTACAGTATATGTGCAAAAAATACTTTACATAATAAATGATTTATTTGTTAGCCCACCATGTAAAGTATGTGCATCTCTGTCCAACGAAAAAAGTTGAGCCATTCCTTGAAGACAGCTTAACAAATATGCTAGTTCATGCTTTCTATACTGACTCCGTGTCATCTGATACTGGCTTTAAAATGAAATTGGCCTAAATTTTCGTCCACTCATATTAATACTAGTTAATCTGATTATTAAAATTTCGGCTTTATATAAATAAAAATGGGGCAGGGAAGAAGTGTTCTCTAATGATTTCATCTACTTCCACAAGTATTCCACCTTTCCTTCTACAGAATACACACCCAACACCTTCAATTCACTATAAATAAACTCCCAACACTGAGACACAATAGACGCCATAGAGTCTTCTCTATGGGTTCCCGTCTTGTACATTCCCCCCACCCCCCAAAGCCAGCCTTTAAATGCCATCACATGTGCACAGCTTGCCTTAATATTTCTCAGAAGCTTAGATCACATGGGCGGGCCTGTCACAAGGCTGCAATGTGACAGGCTGAGCTGGATGGAGGCTCTCACATAAAGCCTAGTCAACAGGGGCCTCTGAAATCAGCTTCTATTTTTATCTCCGAGCCTGCCAACTCCTACACAACCCCAAGAACTTAAGGATGCAGCTTCATATATTGAACATAATGAAACAAAATAAAAAGAAGCCATTAAGGCTGCTACAGTTTTTTCTAATGTAGGGAGGGCTGAAGAACAATCTCAAACTCCACATAAGATGCAATCATCATTAATCACTCATGAAACCAATACGGTCTGAGTTGTTTATGAAAGCCAACAAAGCTAAGAGCCATCAAGTCAGAAATTGGTTAGCAGCAATTGGGGGCTGGGGAGAAGTATAGTCTGCCACTAGGACAGGCATTGTATTTTCTTTCCTCCTACTTGGCAAAATTTTAGAAAAATATTACTATTTAGTACCTTAAAAGTTGTCAGGCAGAAACATTAGCTCTCTTAGGTATAACTGAAATGTATAGTTTTTTTTTTTTTTACGGTTTGTGGTTTCCTCTAATTCATAGCTTAAGAAAAACCCAAACCTGGTCACCTAACTGAAAAATTCTCCTGCCTCAAATATTTATATATATAAGTCTTTATACCCGCGAATGTAGTGCCTTCAGGAGCACATACTGGTGAAAGATTTTAAGACTGCCTACTCACCTGGAGTTGAGCCCCCGAGTTCCGGTCTCTAATCTATTTCCTACTAAGCCAGTGACCTTGGACAAGTCCTTACACTTCAAGTCTCAGTTCCCTCTTTGCCAAATGGAGTAGATTAGTGTGCTTTTTAAAAAGGGCTCCTTGCCAGACTTAAAATCAGGCCCGAGATAGAAAACACGGCAAAACTATAACCCCCGCCCCCCGCCGCCGCATCCCAGACGTTTTAACAAAGAACTTACAAAAACGGCGATATTTTCAGTAACTCGATTCCGCAACGCTACTTTATAAAAATCACTAAAATGACAGTCCAGGTTTAAAGAAAAAAAAAAAAAAGTCTCTAAGTTACCTGAACGCAGGTTTACGAAAAGGGGCTGTGACCCACATACTACTTCCCCCTACTAAGTGCTCACACCAGAGTCTTCGGAAGATTCAATCGATAAAGACAACCTGGTTTCCTCCCCTTAAAACACAGCTCCACGAATGCGTGGAGAGCGAGCACCGTCTCCGGTCCGGCCGTCTGAAGGCACGAAACAAAGGAGAAGGTGCTCCATTTCCTTCATGAGAGGGATTTGGGGCGAGACGCAGCGACGCTGGGAAAACTGAAACACGACGAGGTAAGTCCCTCGCACCCACGTCCCCCCCCTCGCCCCGAGAATCTGAGAACAAATTCGGGTCCCACCGCTTGCCCACGACCCCTCGCTCCCACCCCCAGGCCCCCCGCGCGAAGGCCTCGCGCAGGAAGCCCGGCGGGGCCTCCTCCAAAAACCACTGAGTCATGCAGAACAGCAGCAGCCGGGCTCGACCAGGCCGCCCCTCACCCCGCCCGCCCCGCGCCGACCTCCAACCCCGAACCGCTCCGCCGAGGAGGCGGAGAGCCGGGGGGCGCGGCGGGCCGGGGCCGGGGCCCGGGCCGGGGTCGGGGGCGCGGCCGCCGCCAGGGCCTCTTTGTCTCCACGGGCCGCGCCGCCCACCCCGCCGGGCGCCGGGGCTGAGGGGGGCTCGGGCGGACGCCCGCGGTCCGCGCCCCCGGGGGCCGCACGCCGGGCTTTGTTCCCCCACTTTGAGCGCCGAGAGCGCGCCGGGCCGCGGGCCACCGCCACAGGATGACGCCGCCGTCTTTGTGCTTCCTGAGCGGGCGGGCGGGCGGGCTCCCCTCCCCCGGACGCCGCCATCCGCGGCCCGCTCGGGCTCCGCCGGAGGCCCGCGGCGTTCCGGCCGCCCCACTCCCGCCCCGGGCCGCCGCGAGCAGCCGGGCGCCCTCCCGCAGCGCCACCCCACTCACCCTGCGGGGGCAGAAGAGCAGAAGCCGGGCTCACGCGCGACGCCGGCGCGGTGTGGCCGAGGCGAGGCCTCCGGGATGGCGAGGCGGGAGCCGGGAGGCGCCGCCGCCGGCGGGGAGCGGGTCGGAGCCGCAGGCGGAGGTGGTGGCTCCGCCGCCGCCGCCGCCGCCGCGGGGTCCTCCTTTGTTCCTGCAGCTGCACCGAGCGTGGCCGGGACACGGCGGAGCTCGGGAAGTGGGGGGAGGGCCGCGGAGGGGGGCCGAGGAGGAGGCGGAGGGAGGACCGGAGGCCGCGGCCGCTAACGCTGCTCGCGGCGCTGGGCCGTCGTCGCCACACACGTCCGCGGGCGGCGAGCGGGGCCGGCTCCGAGGGCGGACGGGGCGCGCGCAGCGAGGCCTGGGCGGCGCGAGGGCCCGCGGATGGCGCTCTCCGTCGCCTCAACCACCGCCAGGGAAGCGGCGCGGCTCCCGGAAGCGAGCGAACCCCCAGGCGACACGCAGTGAGGTCCGCGCTCCGGCCGACTGACGCGCTCTCCTCGCTCAGCCCGGCGCTCGGGCTCTGAGGGGAAGAGGGAGGGAGGGGGCGGGGCCTGTGCGTCAGCGAAAACCCCGGCGGCGGCGGCGGCGGCGGCAGCGCGGTGACGTTGCGCGCCCGCCGTCCGCTCCGGGCGCCAGTCACCGGGGCCGGGGGGCGGGGCGAGTCTGACTGGGAAGCCGTCGCGCGGAGCCGAATCACTGGCCGCGCTGCTGGCCCCAGGGCGGAGCTGGAAGGAGCCCGTCCTGGGGAGGATGCGCTTCTATTTTTAGCCGATTGTCGGCCCTCAGCCTCCTCCTTCCGATTTTCTCACTCCAGCCCGCTTTTTGCCTTCTGAGTTCTCACGCTTTGTCTCGAGCTCTTGGCGGACATGTCCCTTCCCCCCCCTCGGCGCCCCCATCCCCCCCAAGAATTAGAGGGATTCGCCTTGAGACGAGAAAAAGAACTGCTTTAGAGCTTCTAGGTCTGTCGCTTCTAGGTCTGCCCCGTCTCCTTCCACCCCCTTTTCGGTTCTAAAGTCCAGCCTGAGCATGGACCTGCACATGAACAACACACCGGCTGGACGGGGAGCAGCCGCCCGCCCGCCCCCTCGCGCAAGGTCACGGGTGCTTGTGCAGAGTCAGGAAACGTCCGGCCGACCGGCTGCCAGTCCTCGCCCCGGCGTCCCTGTTCTGAACAAACTGTCTTGGCCAGCCTGTAAAATCCCTGGAAATTGACTATTCCAGCAAAGTGTCGTGAAGTGGGAAAGCACCAAATGTTCTACGCAAGAAATGGAGTGAAGGAACAAACAAGCTTAACCTGAGGCAGAGATCAGAAAGGAGGAAGTTCAAGATGGGGGAGCTATTAGGCAATTCAGAAATGAAGCACAGGCCCGACTAGTTTGAAAGGGTGAGTTAGAGCAAAACACTTGAGCGCCTTTTCAAAACACCACCGCCAGTAACAACCACCAAAACAATTCCACATGACCTTTTCAAGTGACTCGTGAAACGCAAAACAACATTACCGACTGGACTTAGGAAGTTTTCTTGTAAACAATGGGCGAGTGGGTAGAAATGATATGTAGGATATATGTTATCCACCATAGAAAGGAATGCGAGGTCTCAGTGTTTCTCGCACTTGATAATCAGAAAAGTCACTGGGGGTGATTATTTAAGGATCCCTAGGATTCTCCCAGAAGGTGGTTTGCTTGGTCTGGGGTGGAGCTCAGGAATCTCTATTTTCCAGCACTGCTCCAGGTCATGCCTTTTAATTTTGCATATTTGGAAGAATGCTCTCTTGGTTCCCTGTGCTCAAATTTCCAAATCAAACAGTTCTCCACTATAGTAAACAATACCTAGAACACACCTGAATATTTTCTTCACCATTTAGTGTTATTATTTTGGTAATACAGTAAAGATGTAACTAGTGTCAGCCACAAGTCTTAGGATCCTTGGGATGTTTTTCTCTGAATTAGATTAGTAAAACCATAGCTACCAGTGGAAATTTAGAGTAGAAAAACTTAGCATAGACGGTCTGACAAGGACAAACACCAGAGGTGGGAGTAGGGATGATTAATAAATCTTAGACTAAACCTGGCTTTGGAGGTTTCCTGGAATCTGAGGTGGGATGGGAAACGATTATCAGCCAGAGGAGGGGAAGAGAGGGTTATGAATCTATCCATTTTAGAAGACCAACCCAATCTGACCCCAAGTCTATACTTTCCACAATAATAACATCCTATTACCAAGACAAAACAAAGTTCTTGTCCTTTAAGACTGCCCTCCACCCCACTCCCCCTGTCTATGCAGGTGTTTCTCTTTCCTTAATGAGCTTGCTATATGCTGATGGATGGGAAGTCTGCTGAATTCTTAGAGGGACCCAAGAAACCCACACACCAAACCCCATCATCTGAATGCCGGCAGCTACCATTTAGGGTCTCATCTTTACAGCATTTCTCTGAGGTAGGTACTTTTATACCCATTTTTACAGATAAGGGAATAAGGACTAAAGAGGGTAAGTGACTTGCCTCAGCCACTAAAGAGCAGAAAAGCAAAGGAAGTGATTCTTACTGAGGGCAAAAATAACTTAGAGAATACCCTCACCCCCATGTTAGTACTGACAAGTGAAACAACATAATTCCAGAAAATGCCTAACTAATAAAAACCTGAGAGAAATAAGTCAAAGTGGTTATTTAATAATATATAGTATATGTTATATAGCCAACCATTTATAATTGTCTCTATGAGACTATTTCAACCAAGAATGTAGCTTGTTTTGAACCAAGTCTTAGCAAGATTCTGTTCCAGCAACTACCCTAGTCATTCTGAAAGTGTGGCTCCCAGACCAGCAGTGTCAGCATCTCCTGGGCACTTGTTAGAAATATAAGTTCTCAGCATACCGGAGACATTATGGAATCACAAACTCTGGGGGTTGATTCAGTGTTTTAACAAGTCCTCCGTCCTATTATACCATGTTCAGGTTTAAGCACCATTGATTTACCCTACCATGCCTCTTTCAGATGCTCACACTATATGAATAGGAGATATTCATCTAATGAGTTTTGTTAAGTTTTGTTTTGTTTTGGTGTTTTGAACTTTCAGTTGGACTCTAAAGAGAATCTATAACATAAAATGTAGAACAGAATGCTTTTAATATAGTATACAAAAGGACCGTTACTTTATGTTCATCAGAGAAGTTTGAAATTAACCTCTGCAAAATAGAAAACAGGGAAAGTGGAGCATGCTCAAAAGGTAGTATTATCAGTTAATTGTTCAAAAATATCTTTTGTATGGAAATACCAAGTGATTGTACTGGTCCTTTCTTGAAAATAATACTAACTCATAATTATATTTTGTCTGTAAAATGTTTTGTACACTCACTACATTCTAGAGCTCCCACTGAGCTGAGTGCTGGAATATATACATTGATGGGAAAAAAGATCTTACTCTTGTTTTCTTTCTGTCATATTGGAGAAAAAGGCATTAATAATATATTATAAATATACAATTGTGAACCAGTAAATGTTTTGAGAGAAAGATACAGAATGTTATAGGGGCATATAACCATAGCAGTGGGGACTGAACACCCTCTGAGATCTGAGTTCCATAGTTAGTCAGACCCACCGTCAGTGGACCAGGCTTATTAAAGTAGGCAAATATAGTAAACTGGCATGTCATAGAAGAAACTTGCAACAGCTCGTATTCTGCTTAAGAATTCATTACATCTTTCTTTATAATGAGGGGATAGGCCAGAAAGGGGATTGATAGTTGGAGAAAAGCAAATGCAATTACATTTCTTAGAAAGTTAACACAGATATCCTTTAAAAATAGCAATAAAAATTATCAGTCCACTGCAAAATATAAAAGACCTGGAGTTAGTTTAGTTTGACATGTACTTCCCATTGTGGGGACAAGAATTGCTTCTATGGTTTTGTTATATTTTTTGTAGGTAGCTTCATTTTCTTTCTGTGCTTAAGCAGAGCTTGATGAAACACAGTCTTTATGGGGGTTTTAACAAGTATTGGGTGTCATTCCTTCCTTACTTTCCTCAACCCCCTTCCAAATCTTAAAGATCAAGGTAAAGACTCAATTATATTTTTGGTATCTTTAAAATTATTGACTGAAAGGATTTCAATATTCTCTTTACAGCAGGTCAACTAATTAAAAAATCAAGAATATAACATCCTATTATTTAATTAATAATTTTTGTCTTTACTAGTTAATACTCAAATATTAATATAAGTATAAGTGATTCAAATAGTGGGTGGGTTTAAACTCATCTCAATAAATGGGTAACTGAATATTTTTTCCAAAAAGTTGATAAAGCAAGGAGCAAATTTGATTATTATGCAGACCTTTTGATAAATTTTAAAGCTTTACTGATTTTTCACTAAAAACAACTTGATCAAAGATTCTTCAAATAAATTGTATGGATATTTTACCAGATTAGACAAGACTTGCCGATTCCATGGAGATACTGTCAATATAGCCATAAATAATTTTTGAGACTATTTAAGTGAACAAAAATCATTGTTATTTATATAAATTAAGAATTTAAGGTGAATGAAATTGTTGAACACATATATATATTTAAATTTTTAAATTTTTTTCTGTGGATATTACCTTTTAAGACCCAGGTTACTTTGGTAATTCAAGAACTTTAAGGACTCCTCATGAACAAACAAACTAGAAATGGATGTTAAGTATGTATTCTGAGATTGCCTCCGGAACACCTTGGAGAATGTCATGACTTGGACTCATAGGTGGTGTGTGTTCCATAAAGATAGTCAGGAATGGGGTGAGTGACTTGGTAAAAACCCAGTAACCAGGATAGTACAAAGTTCTGGCAGTGGGCTATTAGGCAAGGATTACACTTGCCATCAGAGAAGTCAGGATTCAGGCAGAGAACTGACAAGAGAGAAAGGGTAGGGTGGGCTCCTATGCTGGAGAAACACAAGTTCTAGGATAATGTAATGTTTTTCCATTTACAGTGTACTTCTAATACATTAATTCAACAAATTGTAACAATGGCTATTGAGTTCAGCATTATCACCTCTCCTTTTGCAGAGTAGTTGACTGAGGCTCACGACAAAGTCATGTGTCATGGCCAATGTCATATAGTAAGAATAGTAAGAGTCAGAACTGGGAATTTAAATACCCTTCTGTTCTTTAGTTTATAATTCTACAGCTTCTCCTGGAGATTTTTCCCTTTTAATTTATCTCGGAAATATATTTTCCATTATAAGTAAACCTTACTTAGATATCATATCATGTAGATCACTCATCTTATCCTAAATTGTGACCCTAATAGAAATTCGCTGATCAGATAGTTTCTTCTACCTACCTGACATGAAGGAAACTTCATGTCGATACTTTTGCTGGCTTCAGTTTCTCTATCCAAGTTTTATTTATTTATTTTTAAAGATTTTTTTTTAATTTATGCATACAAGAGCTGGGGTACAGGCCAGAGATGCGGAGGGTGAGAGGACTCAACAGAGACAGAGTGGGGAACAGAA